TATCCAGGAAAGTTTGTTTAATGAATTTCACCGTTGAGGTGGGAGCTAAAACTTCATGTAGTGTGTTAAAATCCTCTTTTATCATTGAGTATAACTTAAGCATTGTACTTTGGTATCCATGAGCCATTATGTCTAAATTCGATTCTCTGCTATAAGCAGGAAAACAGTTCTGTAGGAGCTCAGCCAACAGTTTATTCTGTATGCTTTGGTACTTGATTATAACTTCCGATTCTGGATAAAGAAACAACAGTTGTTGTATGCACTGCTTTTTCAACCAAATTTTGTGCTGTGAATCGATGATTTCATTATGGCTTTGTAATTTGTTCACTGAGAAGCGTCAAAGATGCAGTCTTATGTTATCCCAGATGGACTGTGCATCCATGGAGGAATCATCTTCAACAGAATGAAGAGAAGTCCCAGAGAGGAAATGGAAAGATGCTCCACTTAGAGTTGCCGGGAATGAAGTGCTGCTCTGGCAGGAGAGATCCCAAAGTGAATCCAGGATCACTTCTTCTTGATTCAGTTCACTCTTCAACGAATCTTGTGGTGTTTTGAGGAATTTCATCAAATCTCCATGGGGAAGGGAAGGTGACTTGGATGAATTACAATTATAGTTATCTAGCCACTCAAAACAGTCAGTTGTCGTTTGCAGCTGCACCTCTGGACACTGCTTGTTAACTTCAGATTGTATTTCCTTAATGCAATGTTCTATGCTTGTAGCATTTTGTTCTATCTTTTCATCAATGTCACTGAGTGACAATGTCACTGACATTTCACAAATGTCACTGCTTAAACTCCAAGTCTCCAGGAAGAGTTCGTATTTCTATAATTACTAATGATGTTGAGAATTCATGTATTTACTGGTCATTCATAGATCTGCTTTAGTAAAGTATCTATTGAAAATTTTCTTTAAATGAGTTATATGTTTCATTATTGAGGTTTAAAAATTACTTATATATTCCACTGACCTATATATCTATCCTTATACCAGTACCACACTCTCTTGATGACTTTCATTTTGAAGTATATTTTGAAATTGAGAAGAGTGAGTCTTTCAACTCTTTGTTCTTCTTTTTCAAGATTGTTTTAGTTATTCTGGATCTTTTGAATTTTTACATGAATTTTAGTAGTAGCTTGTCAGTCTCCACCAAAAAATCAGCTAGGATTTTGATAGAGTGTGTGTTGAATGTGTAGGTCAATTTGGGGAGTATTGCCATCATAACGATGTTAAGTCTTCTGGTCCGTAAACGTCGGGCATGTTCCCATTTCTTTAGATCTTTTTTTTTATTTCAACGGTTTTGTAAGTTTTTAGTGTAAGTCTTGCACTTCTGTCATTAAATGTATCCATAAGTGTTTTTTATGCCATTGTAAATGGAGTTCTTAGCCTAATTTCATTTCGTGGATTGATTTTTTTTAAGATTTTATTTACAGGACGCCTGGGTGGCTCAGTTGGTTAAGCATGTGACTTCAGCTCAGGTCATGAACTTGCAATTTGTGGGTTTGAGTCCCGTGTTAGGCTCTGTGTTGACAGCTCAGAGCCTGGAGTCTGCTTTGGATTCTGTATCTCCCTCTCTCTCTGTTCCTCCCCCACTTGAACTCTGTCTCTCTCTCTCTCTAAAATATGAATAAAGATTTTATTAAATTAAAAAAAAAGATTTTATTTATTTAAATAATCTCTACACCTAACATGAGGCTTGAACTCAAGACCCCCAAGATCAGGACTCACATGCTCCACCAACTGAGCTAGCCAGGCTCCCCTACATGGATAGATTTTTGAATGCTGATCAAACCTTGCATTTCTGGGATACACCCCACTTTACCATGACATGTTATCTTTCTTATATATTGCTGGGTTTGAGTTGCTATATTTCATTATAGATTTTTGTACCTATGTTTATGAGGGAGGTATATAGTCTTATATTTGTCTAGTTTTTGTATCAGGATAATTCTGCTCTTGTAAAATGATTTAGGAAGAGTTCCTTCCTCTTCCAACTTCTGTAAGAGGTTGTATAGAATTGGCATTATTTCTTCCTTAAATATTTGGTGGAACTTACCAGTGAAGTCATTGGAGACTGAGGTTTTCTTTTGTCTTTCCTTGTTTTTGTTTTTCCAGAGAAGTCTGGTTAGAAATTTATCAATGTTATTCATATTTTCCAAATAACTAGCTTTTGGTGTTAATGATTTTTATGTATGATTTGTCCATTTTCTATTTCATTGTTATCTCTCTTATATTTATTTTTCCCTCCTCTCATTTACTTTGGGTTCAATTTGCTTTTCCTTTTCTACTTTCTTAAGGTGATAATCTCTCATTGATTTTATACTTTCTTCTTTTCTAAAAAAAAAAAAATTTTTTTGAGAGAGAGACAGAGAGAGACAGAGAGAGAGAGAGTTAGGAGAGGAGATAGGCAGATGGAAGAGAGAGAGAATCCCAAGCAGGCCCCATGCCCAGGGTGGAGCCCCATGTGGGGCTCAATCTTATGACTCTGGGATCATGATCTGAGCTGAAATCAAGAGTTGGATGCTAGGGGCTCCTGGATGGCTCAGGCAGTTAAGCATCCGACTCTTGGTTTTGACTCAGGTCACGATCTCACCATTCATGAGTTTGAGGTTCACATTGACTCTGTGCTGCCAATGTGGAGCCTGCTTGCGAGTCTCTCTCTCTCTCCCTCTCTCTGTCCCTCCCTTGCTTAGTGCTCTCTCTCTCTCTCGGAATAAATAAATAAACTTAAAAAAAATTTTTTTTAAAGAGTTGGATGCTCAATTGACTGAGCCATTCAGGTGCCCCTGAACTTTCTTCTTTACTAATATAAGCATTTAAATCCATGGATTTTCCTGTAAACACCCTACAAATTTTGATAGTTTGTGGTTCCATTCTCATTCAGTTCAAACCATATTCTAATTTCTCTTATAATTACTTTTTTATCTATTTAGTTAATTTCCAAAATTTGGAAGAGTTTCTATATATCATTCCGTTGTTGATTTCTAGTTTTATTTTATTTAGTTTTTATTTAAGAGAGAGAGCATGAGCTGGGGAGAGGGGCAGAGAGAGAATCCCAGCCAGACTCCATGCCCACCTCAGAGCCCGACTTGGGGCTCAATCCCATGACCCCCAGATCATGACCTGAGCTGAAATCAGGAGTTGGATGCTCAACTGACTGGGCCACCCAGGTGCCCCTATTGATTTCTAGTTTAATTCTGTGGTGGTCATGGAACATACTTTGCATGATTTTGATTCCTTAATTTTTTTTTTTTTTTTAAGTAGGCTCCATGCCCAATGTGGGGCTTAAACTCACAACCCTGAGATCAAGAGTTGAGTGTTCTACCAACTGAGCCACCCAGGCACCCCTGAGCTTTTAAATTTATTAAGACTGATTTTAGGGCCCCAGATATGGTCCGCTCTCAGTGAATGTTTCACATGCACTTGGAAAACAAATGTGTGTTCTGCTGTTTGGGGGTGGTGTTATGAAAGGTCAGGCCGAGTTGATTAATAATGCGGTTCAAGTCCTCTCGCTCCTTACTAACAGTCTATCTACTCTTTTATCAATTTCTGAAAAAAGAGTGTGAAGTCCTCACCTACAGTTGGAATTTACCTGCTTCCCCTTTCGGTTCCATCAGTTTTTGTCCAATGTTTTCTGAAGCTCCGTTAGGGTGTGGCAACCCTCAGGTCTGGTGTGTCCTTATCCCTGGTGATAGTCTTTGTTCTGTAGTCTATATTGCCTGATATTAATATCGCTACTCCAGCTTTCTTTTGATTAGTGTTACCATGGTGCATCTTTTCATTTTACCTTTAACCTGTATGTTTATATTTAGATTTGTTTTCTTGTGCACAGCATAGAGTGGGGACTTGCTTTCTTTACCCAATCTATCTCTTTTAAATTACCTTTAAGGTAATTATTGAGATGTTGAGCTTGAATCTACCATTTTGCTATTAGCGTTTTATTTGTCCCCTCTGTTCTTTGTACCTGTTTTCCTCTTTTCCTGACTTCTTTTCAACAAATTGAGTATTTTCTATAACTTCACATTGTCTCTACTGTTGGCTTATGGATTATGCTTACTTGGTTGTTGTTAATGGTTGTGCTAAGGCTTAAAAGATACACCTTTAATGTATCATTACCTTCAAAAGGTACTATTGCTTTGCATGTAGTGAAAGAACTTATAATAATTTACTTACATGTCCCCCTCCCTAGTCTTTCTACTCACGTAGTGATTTTAGTTCTACATAAGTTATAAGTCTTATAATAACTTGTGATTCTTTCCACTTTAAACAGTTGCTTCTTTTTTAAATAAGGAAATGAGGAAAAAAATTTTAGATCCTTGATTTGTATACTTGGGTAGCCCAGGAAGTGTGAGGGTGGCCTCGCTGCTGTATCTTGAGGGTGACTTCCAGTGAGAATACCAGAAAGGCCCAGAGTCCCCAGCTGCCTACAGCTCTACTCCAGGCCACATGGCCTCCTTTGGTGGATGGTCTCTCTTGGTTACTGTCCTCATAGTGGACAGGGCTCACATAGCTCCATAGTTGAGCTTCTAAGTCCCTTTTCCCTACAGATGTCAATAGTCAAGGACAGCTGTGATATGCTGTGTTTACAGGGGGGCACCTGGGTGGCTCAGTCACTTGAGTGTTTGTTGATTTTGGCTCAGGTCGTGATCGCATGGTTCCTGGGATCAAGCCCCGCCTAAGGCTCTGCACTGACAGCACAGAGCCTCCTTGGGATTCTCTCTCTCCCTCTCTCTCTGCCCCCCCCCCCCCCCCGCTCATGCTCTCTAAATAAATAAATAAATAAATAAATAAACTTTTAAAAAAATTTAAAGTTTTCAGGGGCATTGACCTTCAATGCCAGAGCATTCATAATCATGATGGCTCACATTTATTGAGCTTTTTCTATATGACAAACACCCTGCTAAACCCTTTGTGTGCATTACCTCTTCATTCTCACTGCAATTTGATGAGGTAGATACTGCTATTATTCCCTTAAAAAAATTTTTTTAATGTTTACTTATTTTTGAAGGAGAAGGAGAGACAGAGCATGAATAGGGGAGGGGCAGAGTGAGAGGGAGACACAGAATTGAAACAGGCTCCAGGCTCCGAGCTGTCAGCACAGAGCCCAACACAGGGCTTGAACTCACGAGCTGTAAGATCATGACCAGAGCCGAAGTAAAGCGTTGGATGCTTAACCAGCTGAGCCACCCAGGCGCCCCATGACTCTCCTTTTACAAATGAGAAAATGGAGGCAAGAAGGTTTAAGTAAATTGCCCAAAATCATACAGCAAGATCTATAAGGGAACCAAGACTTGTTTGGTGTCTTGGTGGTTGGACATCAGAGCCAACCACTCTTAAGTGCTGAGTTCCCTGCTTCCCCAGTGACCTGCCCAGGGACATTTTGCCACCCTCTTAACACACACAGTTCCCCTGATATTGTACACTTGGAAAACCTCTGGGTTTGGGGCCCCGTGTCTCCCTGTTCCTTTCTGTACATCAGGGCCTGTGACTGAAGACCACATACCATGTTGATCGGTGTGGGTTAGTGGAGAGAGCACCGGACTGGGAGCCAGCACACTCTGCTCTCATTCCAGCTCCATGGCTCACCAGTCATAACATGTTAGTTAATGTCTCTGGGTTTGTAGTTTCTCAATACCTAAGTCAAGGGGATGGAATTAGATCATCTCAAAGGCTTCTTTAAGACCAACATCCTGTGAGTCTTTGAATTAGTGACCTTGCCGATAGAGAGCTAATAATTACCTAACTTGACAAGACATCTAAGATTTATTTGCTTT